TCCATTTACAAAGTCGTGAAATTGGATTCCCATCTTATAGCACTTACAAAAAAATAACTTGAAGTGCATCATAGGACTAAATATTAGAGATAAAATTATAACAATTTTAGAAGAAAATTTGGGGGTAAATGCTTGTGACCTGTCCAGGAAAACTTTTTTCTGCCAAGGGCGTTTAGATATTTATAACATCATTCACAGGCCATATAATATAGGCAGATTGGAGTCTACATGGACTACATCCCCTCATGGACCAGGGCCAGACCACATGATTACTCAGGACTTATACAACCCACAGACTGGATTTCCCCCACTTCTGGTTTACACACTAGTTTTTTTAGATAAAATATCAAAAACAACCAAAGAAAAAATAGGTAACTTAAATTACACACAAAAATTAAACTTTTGTTCTATAAGTAATTTAAGAAATCAAAATGACAACCTATAGAACTAGAGGACACATCAACAAAGTATGAATCCTATAAGGGTCTTGTACAAAGCATGAATCCTCTTAGGGTCAGAACATACAAAATAGAATTTCTTCATTAAAAAAAACCAATATAACCATGCCGCCAGACCCTGCTCCAGGCTGTTTGGGCGCCGGAGAGGGAGGCAGGTGAGACACCCCTCCTGCTCAAGGGACCCAGCCCCGGCAGCCGACAACCTCCAGAACCCAGCCGCCGCCATGCTTACGGCTGCTCTCCACACACTCCGGCCAAGCCTCACCCACGAGTGAATGCGGCCACGTGATACTTCAAACCACACACCCTACCCGTACTCCAAGATTACAGCATCACATGTGATAGGGTTTAAAGTAGGAGGCAACAATCTTAGAGGGAAAATATACATTTTTTTTTACAGATACATATACAAAAAGCACACAAGGGTCAACCTTTAACATGTTAGTGATCTCTTATAGAAGGGCTTAATAGTTTCTAGGTGAAATACAAAAATAATCTTCACCCTCTTTCCACTAAGGATACGTTTTTGTAGGATTTTCAGTGTTTTTTCATAACAGACAATACAAAATATATTATTTAGGTTCTGCTTTGGGGCAGGGATCAGGGTTCAGGATGGAAACATCCGAAATATGGTGGTGGGAAGGTGTAATGGTGCTGGGATTGGTGTTTGAATATTAAATGTAATCAAATATTGTGAACTACTTTATAAAAAAAAAGAACAAATAATTTGAGATTGAATGAAGGATTTGATAAGACATTCTTTAAAAAGTAAATAAAAATAAATAAAATACAGATGAAAAATTCTTAACATCAGTTGGTCATTAGGAAAGTAAGATTAAAACCACAATACAATACTTCTTCATACTAACTAGAATGATTATAATAAAAAGGAAAGACAATTATAAGTGTTGATGAAAATGTGGAGAAGTTGAAATATTCATAGATTGCTCATGAGAGTATAAAATGGTAGGGTTGTTTCAAAAATGTTTATTAGGTTCTGAAAAGTTTCAAGATAGAGTTACCACTATGTCCCAGGAATCCTATGTATTTACTCAAAAGAAATTAAAATGCATATCCAAACAGAGCCTATACATGAAGGTTTTAATATTACTTATAGTATCAAAAAATTTAAACAATTTCACTGTCCACCAACGATGAAGTGTATAAAGAAAAAGTATTATATCCCATCAAAGAATACTATTTTTATATATACTGTCACTGTCCTCCCTTTGTTCATCGATTTGCTCAAGCGGCGGGCCCAGTAATGTCTCCATTGTGAGACTTGTTGTTACTGTGTTTGGCATATTGAATATGTCACGGGTAGCTTGCCAGGCTTTGCTGTTTGGGCGAGATTATCTCGGTAGCTTGCCGAGCTCTCTAAGAGGGACGGAGGAATCGAACCCAGCTTGACCGGGCCGGCTGCGCGCAGGGCATATGCCCTACCACTGTGCTATTGCTCCAGCCCTATTTTTTATTCTATTTTATAAAAAAATAAAATATTTTGTACATGCTACAACCTGGATGACTGGGAAATATTGTATGTGGATAAAATAGGTATTAAAAAAACCCACATAGTCCATTATGGAATTTCTCAACTGGGGATCATATGACTCTCTCTGTGGGCCCCCAGGATATTCCAAGAAACTGCAGTGAAAATGTCATAAAAAGGAGTTGCTCTGGCATGAAAGTATGGTAGGATGGGGACCACTAGAAGATACAAGTTTGAAAGTGGTCAGAAAAGAAGTTGAGAAACATTGGTCTGTGATTACAATGATATGAAATTTCCAGAATGGGTAAGTGTATAGGAACAGATTAATGGCTGCCTAGGGCCAGGATCAGGGGAGACAGAATATGGGAACAAAACTACTATAGGAGAGACCACAGTATCCTAAAGTTTAGATATGGTTGGTGTTTGTGAACTCTGAATACACTAAAAATATTTAATTGTTCACCTTATGAGTGAAGGTGTGGTTAATTAGTTATATTTGAATAAAGTTCATTTTCAAAATGCATACATTAGTTACTTAGATACTTTTCTCAATACTTTTTATGAATACTTTTGTGAGTCCTTCTGCTCAGGTTCAACCCCAAATCAAGATTTTCATTCTCTTGCAGTGAACCCAAACATCCCCAGGTCCTAAAATTCCCCAGGTGGTTGTATAGGATAACCAACATCAAGAGTTGGTATCAGATCCAATCTAAATGTTTCTATTTAGGGATGTTCATATCCTCTGTTAGAGGGTTCCAGGAAACTTGAGTCTTGCCAAAATGTGGTTTTGAGGCTGGCATGTGGATCACCTGGGAACCTTCCTTAAGGCAGAATCCTGGGCACCACCAATGTGAATAAATCAGTATCTATTTTAACGAGCTAGTTAATAAGAAAGTTGGGAAAGGGTTGCTCTGGAGTAGTGGCTGGCAATCTTGTCTGTTTCTTGAAATCTCCTGAAAGTTAAAAAAAAATAACAAACCTCTGGCTCCCTGGGTCTACCCCATGATTACAGGAGGCATGAGATGCAGCTGGCTTATGAATGCTGCCAGGTCATTCTAATGCAAGACAACGTGAGAATAACTATTGTCAGCTGCTCAGAGACCCACACTTTGAACAGAGATTGCAAAAGAAATTGAATCTAGCAATTTTCTTTTTAACATAAGCATAGAGGAACATGCATAAGAAAGCAGAGATTATTGATGATGAAAAATTCCAGAGGCATGGGGGAAGTGATGGGAATAACACAATAGTGAGGGGTCGGCCAATATGTCTGGGGAATTTAATAACTTTTTATGTTGTGAGAAACTTAGATTTATAGCTTTATATTCAGTTCCTTTAAATGTACATTTGGTTTTCTTGATTTATTTAACTTGGGGTTCCCAAGGGTGTTTGGTCATTGTATTGATCACTTTCCCATATTATGCTTTTTGCATCCTGTCTTTAACCTCCTGCTGCCCAAAGGTACCACATTCTTAGTACATTTAAAAAAATAGCATTACAACACTAAAGAGAACTAATTGAGTTTTGGATTTTCACTTTTCCTCCACATCATGATGATTCTACCAATAAAGGTTTTTTATACAATAATAGTTCATAAATAGTGAAGTTGCTCACTATTTCTTTATTTTGAAATATCTGACTCATCTAGATTTTGTCAAGGAAAAATGAATGTAAAGGAAACTCTGAAAGTTATTAAAATTATCATTTGTTAATTTGCTGATAATTTTGTGACATTTTGGTAAAATTTGACTTTTAAAGTGAATAGTATGTCCTAATTTTTTCACCCCCAAAATTCTTGGTGCTCCACATTTATTCTTATCTTCTTTTAACTTAAATGTGTTTTTTCCATGTTCCAGAAAAATTTCTTTGTTTTAAGTTACCTTAAATTTTAATGTGCACATTCATATCCTATAGCATTAACAGTAACTTGCAAGCTCATCTTAGATTATTAAGTAGTCCTTAGTATTCTCTCAACAGTCAAAATTATGGCTAACATCTTCTTATGATGTTATGGCTAACATCATAAGACTAGGTAGGTCTGTACTAGCTGAGTGACCTTGTGCTTTGATGCACATCCCACATGCATTTGGTAGTGTTTACGTTCCCAAGGTTTTGAGAATACATTTTTGAGAACCACAGAGCCAATAATTGACCAATAGCACTTACTATACATCTTCTTTATTTATAACATGAGGAGTTTGGATGAAGTGAGCTCCAGATTTCTTTTCAATACTAATGTTGGTTTATTTTCATGTGTACCTTTAGAAAAATCTTAAACTTGTAATTATTTCATTGATATTTATGTTAACATGTTCGGTATTGCAAACATATATAAGAAGACATTAAGTTTTCTGGACTGGAGTGATAGCACAGTGGTAGGGCATTTGCCTTGCACGCAGCCAACATGGCTGACCCGAGTTCGATTCCTCCGTCCCTCTCAGAGAGCCGGGCAAGCTACCGAGAGTATCTCGCCCGCACGGCAGAGCCTGGCAAGCTCCCGGTGACATATTCGATATGCCAAACACAGTAACAACAAAGTCTCCAATGGAGACGTTACTGGGCCCGCTCGAGCAAATCGATGATCAACGGGAGGACAGTGACGGTGACGACGGTGATGTGGGCTAATATTTAAAGGATATGTTGCATCTGTAACATCACAGCTGCCACCTTGATAGATGTTCTTTATTTCTTTGGAAATGTTTTGTAATGAAATCTATATAGAATGACTTCTCAATTTTCTGCTATAAAGAATGGGTTTCTAGAAATCTAGTCCTGTTATTTATTACAAAGAAGCACATAATTTCTTCTTTTGTTTTCAAATGATCACATTCCTGACACTGAAAGTAAATGTTCGTGACTGTTACAATGTAGACAAATAAATGATGATTACTTGAAAGATGACCAGTTACAGATTTTGGAGACTTCTGGTTTTACAACAATGTTATTAGATGACAGGTTTGCTATTTTCTAGAAGTATGAGGAAGGGGACTATTAAAATCACCCATACTTGTTTGGGAGAGAACATTGACATTTTCTAAACAATTCTTTTCTAGTGAAGGAAGCCCATCCCCCAGATTGGAGCTGCTACATAACATTGACCCCGACTTTGTAGACGTTTCACCATGTGAGTACCTCAATCATTGTAACTCAACTTCTAACTCAACTTCAGTTTCACTGCATCACTGTCATCCCTAGCGGGCGCCAGTAACATTTCTATTCCACCCAGCCCTGAGATTTTAGCAGCCTCTTCTTACTTGTTTTTTCCCAATGATTAGAGGCTATTTCAGGGTCAGGAAAATGAGCCCTCCTGTTGTTACTGTATTTGGCATATCTAATATACCACGGGGAGCTTTCCAGGCTCTGCCTGTGTGGGTGGGATACTCTCGACAGCTTGCCGGGCTTTCCAAGAGGCATATATTTATATATTTCTCTATGATTTGTTGCCTACTGTCTGAACCCTATCTGGTATGGTGTAGTAATTGTGGAAAATGGGTAGGAAGTGTCTTATAATCGTGGCTGCGCGGTCCGGAATGCGGCCCAGAGCATGGCAGTGGTTTATGAAAAGAATTTTATTTCCAGTGTGTCTCTTGTCTACCTTCCTCTATGTCTACTTGACTTTGCTGTAAAAGGAAACAGTTCTTCATGGCACCTGTTGCACTCAGATCGCTTGGTTTGGTGCCATGGATTGTACATTCTATTCTTGGCCCTGCCACTTGCCAATGATATGACCTTTAAGGGTGTGCATACTGCATACTCCATAATGTAATATTTCTATCTATAAGAAAAACAACTCATGGTGTCTCAAAAACTCCTCTATCCTATAGATTTGACGTTATTTTTCTGTTCTTAACTGAGAGCTCCAGAGTCACTTTCTAGAAAATTTAAGGTCAAATGAGCCTCCATATGTGCTAGTTTGACAGGCCAGAATGCTGCCAACACCAGCTGGGTCTCAAGGATTTTTCTTATAGATACCTTCATTTCCCACTGTGCTGAAATTGTTCCTGGAAGTTCTGGTTTGTGTCTTATTTATCTCTTTATTCTCTTGGATGGGCACTTACTAAAGATTACCTGATGGTTGCCTGGACAACTGGAAGAGAGTTGGGATGGCATAGAGACCAAAGTGAAAATATTAATTATAGAAGAGAAGGGACCTTATGATTCTCACACTTAGCATGACCTCCAGTTTCATAAATATCACTGAAAAAGGTGAAATTTCTTTTTTTTTTTTCACAACCTCACGGTACACCATCATGCATATACACCGCATTGGATAGTCTCCAGATCTTGGCTGTAGTAAATACTGCTACAGTGAACATAGGTGTGTGTATATCTTTTTGGATTAGTGTTACTGTGTTCTTTGGATAAATGCCTAGGAGTAGAAATGCCTGATTATATGGTAGATCCGCATTTAAATTTTTACAGGAATTCCTATTTTATAGGGATAGGCTTTAGATTTTTCCCAGAGAAGCTAGGCCTTCTAAAGAATAATAGATTACTTCAGAAGTTGCCCTGTTGTGTTTTAGTGACTCAACTGCCTTTCTCTTATTCTAAGAATTTAGGGCACCCCAGTAGTTCTTTCTACTGGTAGGGTTAGGGCTTTATTTCCTTGGCACATACTCTTGGTAGAGTGTGACTTGGATACTAAGACTTTTTCATAACCACACAGACACACATACAAAGACACACATACAAAGACACACACTATGTCATTGGATATCTCTTATAGAGCAGGGTATTTGTAGGAAGGTATAAAGAGATTACAGATCATGGGTCACAGCCATCAGGATGACTGTTTAAAAAGAGAACTATTGATTAGAATGTGGAGAAGTTGGGATCCTTATTGTTATCTGTGGAAATGTAAAAGGATGCAGCCATAGTGGACAATGATTTGTGGTTCCTCTGAGAACTTTTGATTAAAATCATATGATTTTAATCTACTTCTAGCAATTCTACTTCGTATCTCCCCACAATAATGAAAACCAGGGACTCAAATAGAGTCATATTTTGAGCACCTATGTTTCTAGCAGCATGATTCATAATCAAAACGTGTTATAAACACCACAATGTAATGTTATTCAGCCTTGAAAATGAAGAACATTTGCTATAAAGAATGGGTTTCTAGAAATCTAGTCATTTATTTATTTATTTGTACAGAGAAGCACATAATTTCATCTGAAAAATGCAAAAGCTTTAGGGCATATAGAAGTGAAACAGACTATTTGTAAATGATAAATATGCAGTGACTCCCATCATATGAGAGATGTAAGGAAGCATGAAGAATGGTTGTTGTCAAAGATTGAAGGAGGAAGAACTAGAAATTCTTGCTTTTTTTGTTTTGGGTTTTGTTTTTTTGGTTTTGGGAGATACCCAACTGTGCTCAGGGCTTACTCCTGGCTGTACTTAGAGGATGACGTGTGCTGTTAAGGATTGAACTGGAGTTGGCTACATGTAAGACAAGTACCTTAAAGCAATATGGGTTGTAAATGCTTTCCTGCATGCCTGAGGAAATTTATTTGTCTTTGCTGACTTTGTTCTGAAGTAACTTCAGACCTATTTTGGGCTTTATTAAGACAGCACTTTTTAGTTTTACCACCTTGCTTTCTAACAATAGATTCCAAGAAATATTTATGTACCCCTTGGTATTTTACAATACTTTTTTCCAGGAGACTCACCAAGACTTGGTGTCTTTCTCCTGAAGTACACAATAGATCAAGGAAGACATCTGTGAGAAGATCCAGGGGATTGGGAAAATGACCATGAAGCTGATTTACCAAAAGTCTAGAAAGTTCTATTTATGAGAAGCACGTAATCCCACATTAAACCCTGAAATGCTGTGAGTGTAGATTTTTTCCTGTTATCACAAAAAAGATTTTAATGTTTTATTATGACATATTTGCAATTAATTTAAGGAACTGCATTTTATCAGACTAAGGAAGTTCCATTTTCTTTCTTTTTTTATTTTATTAGTGAAACATCATGAGGTACAGTTGTAGACTTACAAATTTTTGTGCTTGGGTTTCAGTTATGCAATGTCAAGTGCCCATTCCTCCACCAGTGCCCATTCTCCACCACCAATGATCCCAGTATCCTCCCACCCACCCACCCACCCCGCCTCTGTGGCAGGGCATTCCCTTTTGTTCTTTCTCTCCTTTTGGGTGCTGTGGTTTGCAGAAGAGGCATTGAGTGGCAGTCATGTTCAGTCTATAGTCTACTTTCCGCATGCATATCCCATCCTGGGAGGATCTTCCCAACACCCTTTATTTGGTGCTCCCTTCTCTATCTGAGCTGCCTTTTCCCCTAACGTGTGCGGCTGTCCTCAAAGCCATGGAGTAATCCTCCTGGTACTTATCTCGGCTATTCTTGGGTGTTAGTCTCCTATTTTGTTACTTTATATTCCCCAGATGAATACAATCTTTATATGTCTGTCCCTCTCTCTTTGACTCATTTCACTTAGCATGATAGTACCATGCAGTACCACTTGCATGTAAATTTTATGACTTCATCTTTTCTAACAGCTACATAGTACTCCATTGAGTAGATGTACCAAAGTTTCTTTAACCAGTCATCTGTTCTTAGGCACTCCATTTTTTCCAGATTTTGGCTATTGTGAACACTACAGCAGTGAACATAGAAGTGCAAATGTCATTTTGGCTGTACTTTTTGCCTCTCCAGGATATATTCCTAGGAGCAGTATTGCTGGGTCAAATGGGAGCTCAATTTCTAATTTTTTGAGAATTGTCCACACTGTTTTCCAAAAGGGCTGAACCAGTTAGCATTCCCACCAGCAGTGAAGGAGGGTCCCTTTCTTGCCACAGATGTGCCAACACCAGTTGGTTTTTTTTTGCATTTTTAAAAAAATTTTTATTAGTGAGACACCATGAGGTACAGTTGTAGACTTACTAATTTTTTGCTTGGGTTTCAATTATACAGTGATCAAATATCGATCCCTCCACCAGTGCCTATTTTCCACCACCACGAATTAAATTTTTGCATTTAAAAAAATTTATTAAACAGTATGGATGATTCTCAAAAAATTAGAAATTGAGCTCCCATTTGACCCAGCAATACCACTCCTGGGAATATATCCCAGAGAGGCAAAAATGTATAGTCGAAGTGACATCTGCACTTGTTTGTTCATTGCAGCACTCTTTACAATAGCCAGAAACTGGAAGAAATCTGAGTGCCCAAGAACAGATGACTGGTTAAAGAAACTTTGGTACATCTACACAATGGAGTACTATGTAGCTGTTAGAAAAGATGAAGTCATGAAATTTACATACAAGTGGTACAACATGGAAAGTATCATGCTAAGCGAAATGAGTCAGAAAGAGAGGGATAGACATAGAAAGATTGCATTCATCTGGGGGATATAAAATAACAAAATAGGAAATTAATGCCCAAGAATAGCTGAGATCAGTACCAGGAGGATTACTCCATAGCTTAGAGGCCAGCCGGGCATTCTAGGGGAAAGGGCAGCTCAGATAGAGAAAGGAGCACCAAATAAAGGGTGTTTGGAGGATCCTCCCAGGAGGGGAGATGCATGTTGAAAGTAGACTATGGACTGAACATGTTTGCCACTCAATGCCTCTTTTGCAGACCACAACACCCAAAAGGAGAGAGAGAACACAAGGGATTGCCCTGCCACAGAGGCAGGGTGGGATGGGGGGGATGGGTGTGGGAGGGATACTGGGATTCATGGTGGTGGAAAATGGGCACTGGTGGAGGGATGTGTATTTGATCATTGTATAATCGAAACCCAAGCACAAAAAATTGTAAACCTACAACTATACCTCATGGTGTTTCACTAATAAAAAAAATTTATTAGGTACACTTGTCGGCTTACAAATTTTTGTGCTTGGGTTTCAACTATACAATGATCAAATACCTATCCCTCCACCAGTGCCCATTCCCCACCTCCATTGCTCCCAGCATTCCTCCCACCCCCCCATCCCACTTCACCCCTGTGGCAGGGCATTCTCTTTTATTCTCTCTCTTCTTTTGGGTACTGTAGTTTGCAAAAGAGGCATTGAGTGGAAATCATGTTCTATAGTCTACTTTCAGCATGCATCTCTCATCCTGGGAGGATCCTCCCAACACCCTTTACTTGGTGCTCCCCTCTCTATC